CACATATACACATACATACATGTATGTATGTGTATATAGGTGTATATGCACATACATAATTATTTATATCCACACATGTGTATAACACATACACTGTGTATATAGATAACAATCTAGATGTTTGCATATTCTATCCCCATTAAAATGTGATACAGCTGAGAGCTGAGACTATCTCTTCTTGCTTTTCTTTGTATTCTCAGCACTTAAAACACAGTGCTTGGCATACAGCAGGCACTTAATAAATTATGATGAGGATGATAATAAAAAAATGATAATTAACTTAATAAATGACTGATTGACTCACCATTTAAAATAGTTACAAATTCTCTTTCTTCCTATCTCCCAGGAAATCAGCTAATACCAGACTCTAACTAGCCAGAGTAATTTTCTTCCACCCAAATGAGTGGTGGTACAGTGGGTAGAGTGCTGGGTCTAGAGTCAGGAAGACTTGGGTTCAAATCTGGCACCAGACACTAGCCATGTGAACTTGGGTAAGTCTGTTTAACTCAGTTTCCTCAACTGTAAGATGGAGTTACCAATCACACCTAATTTCCAGGGTTATTGTGAGGATAAAATGAGATGATATTTGCAAAGTGCTTAGCACAGTACTTGGCACATAATAGATACTATGTAAATACTAGCTATANTTCCAGGGTTATTGTGAGGATAAAATGAGATGATATTTGCAAAGTGCTTAGCACAGTACTTAGCACATAATAGACACTATGTAAATACTAGCTATAATTATTATTATTATTATTATTATTATTATTATTATTATTTCTGTTACCCCCCCCAAGAAACAGTCATGTGGTTGGTGTGACAGATACAGCCACCTAGTTTAAGGGGAGACCCTTAAGCTTGTCGTCCAAGGATCATATGTGTCAGAAGTGAGATTTGACCCTCTCATCCTCTGACATGAGACCTAATATTTTTTCCACTATACCACAGCAATGTGTAGCCCAGCTTGCCTGGGGGCATCTGGATGGTGTGCAAAGTACCAAAAAGGGGTCAGTCACAGGCAAGAGAGTAGTTATGGTCACTGCCCAGAGACTCCTATTACTAGATCACTGGAACATAGTTTTCAAGTTAGAAGGAACATTACTCCAACTCCTTCATTTTATAGATGGTGAAACTGAGGCACACAGAGATTAAGTGACTTGCTCAGGGTCACACAACTATTAAGTGTTTGAGGGAAGATTAGGACACGGGTCTTCCTGACTCTGGTCCGGCACTGTATGGACTCTGACACACCTCCCCACTAGTTCCCAGCCCTCCTTCCCTTAGAAGGCACTCTCACTTACTGAGAATGCAGGTGATGGCAGCAGCAGCAGAAACAGCAGCATCAGCGGCAGTCCCAGCAGCAGCAGCAAAAGGGGATGCTTCTTCATCTCCTGCACAGGAAGAAAAGCATTCAGTGCTTTTAATAAGCTCTGGGGTGCAAGATAGAGAGGGGAAGGACAAGGAGGGAACCAATCCCAAGAAGAATAAAGAAGTTCCCATCAATGCCTCCAGCATCTGAGGCCCTTCCCCTCTCAGAGAAGTCTCTAGTATGTATCACAATGTCCTCCCTCCTTTGTTAAAGTTTGTTCTAAGGGTGAAAAGGAATAGTGGATATGCACGGAGTCAAAGCCAACCCCATTGGCAGGTTGGTAGAGGAAAGTCACCCAAATGCAGACACAGAGGAGTCTGTATTTTGTCCTACAGGCAATGGGGAGGCATTGAAGCTTCTTGAGCTAGGCGGGCACTGAGGTCATCAGATAATGCACATCAGAATTATCCATTTGACAGCTGTGGAGAGACTGGACTGGGAAGAGAGAGACCAGATGCTGTGAGACCATGGAGGAGCTAATGCAAAAGGCCAGGCAAAAGGCGATAAGGGCCTTGACTAGAGTGCTTTCGGTGAGGATAGAGACAGAGGTCAGTTGAAGAGATAGAGGAGATGAGATTTGACAACCAATTGTATAACCAGGGTAAACAAGAGTGAAGAAAAGAGAATGACTCCTAGGTTGTGTACCCAAGTGGCTGGAAGAATCCATTGGCGAAGGCTTGGCAACTCACCTAGAACTTACAGGCTTAGAGTGGCTTGGAAAACTGAGAGGTTTAGTGATCTGCCTATAGTGTCAGAGTGACACACATTTATGTGTCAGAGTTAGGACTCCAACACCATGCCACCTTTCATATAGCCCTTTATAATTTATAAAGTACCTTTTTTTTGGGGGGGGGCACTGAGGTTAAGTGACTTGCCCAGGTCATACAACTAGTAAGTGTATGTGGCCAGATATGAACTTAGGTCCTCCTGACCCCAGGGTCAGTACTTTATTCACTGTACCACCTAACTGTCCCTATAAAGTACTTTCATAGCCATCATCTAACTTCATCCCACAACAATTCTGTGACATTAGCAGATCAGATATCTTCATTTTACATATGAAAAAAGTAAGACCCAGAGAGGTAACTTGCCCAGGATCACGCTGCTAGTAAGTGAAGGTTGCTCAGTCAGTTTCAGCTGTCTTCGACTCTCTGTGACCCCATTTGGGATTTTCTTGGGAATGATACTAGAGTGGTTTGTCATTTCCTTTTACAGCTCATTTTACAGATGAGGGAACTGAGGCAAACAGGGTAAAATGACTTGCCCAGGGTCACACAAGAATCAATTGGTGAACAAGAATTTATGAAACAGTGACTATGGGCCAGGAACTATAAAGATCTCGGAGAAACAAAATGGCCCTTGGTCTATCGTTCACCCCTCTGGGACTCATTTTCCTTCTCCTAAAAATGAAGGAACTGGACTTTACCATTTCCAAGTTCCCTACCAACCCTATAATTTTATCTATGGTTCTGTGAAATGACACATTAGGGAGCTACACAAGGTAAAGTGTCAGACTTGAAGTCAGGGAGAGACGAGTTAGAAACTTGCCTTAGAACAAAGAGTAGAGAACCTGTGATCTTCTAGGTCCTTGGGTGAGGCCTTTTGTCTGAGCCCAAGTTTTGATTCTTGATGCCTACAGCTCTTTCCTGGTCTACTACCTATGTATTGATAAAAGTACAGGATGTCCCAAGTCTAAGTGCTATTTTCTGCACTTGAATAGTAGTATCCTAAACACCAGATCCTTTTCCCTGCTAAATCCGTCAGTCACCTTCCTATTCTAAGAACTATAGCAGAAGATGGTAAGTGGCTGGGTTTTCCCCCATTAGCAAGTACAGAATTCTGTTCAGTTTCAGACCTCTGACTTCTAGAACCCACATTGCTGTTTGTTGTTGTTGTTCAGTTGTGTTTGACACTTTAATGACCCCATTTGGGGTTTTCTTGGCAAAGATCCTGGAATGGTTTGCCATTTCCTTCTCTAGCTTATTTTACAGATGAGGAAACTGAGGCAAACAGGATTAAGTGATTTGCCCAGGGTCACACAGCTAGTAATTATCTGAGGTCAGATTTGAACTCACGTCTTCTTGATTCCAGGCCTGGCATTCTCTATCCACTGTACCACCTACCTGACCCCAAGGACCCACATTGGCCCCTCTTTTTTTCCCCCCAAAACATTCTCAACTGGCTTTTCTAACAGGCAGACTTAAGCTTGAAGTTGGGAATTTTCCAACAGTCAGAGCAGTCCAAAATGGAGAATGGGCATCCCTGGGAGGTAGGGAGCTCCCTCTTAAAGGTGGTGTTTGAGCTGGATGACTATTTGTCCAACATATTGTCAGGGGCAGGTCATACTTGGTGACTAGTGAGTTCTCTTATAACACTGAAAACCTGTGGTTATAAATAAATGCTGCTTTGACCTGAAAGATCTTCTTCTCTATTTTCAGGTGAGGAATCTAATCCACTTCTGGTGGAAGAAACAATTTCTCCTCTAGGAAATTGTGAATAATAATCATAAGAACTGACTTAGGTACCGTTGTTCTACCTACAAGGGCATGCTTTTTCCCAATCCCTACTGCTACTCTTGTCTTTTCCAGAGGCAAGTTACAAACTGGAAAAACAGCACAGAATAAACAGACTTGTCAATTGAATGTCACAAATAAGAACATTTATTAAAAAAAAACCTCACAGAGCTATATGTGAATGATATATCAGCAGAGCAAGGTGGCATTGGCATAGAAAGGCCTTCCGAAGGACCTACATGTACAAAAATATTTATAGCAGCTCTTTTTGTGGTGGCCAAGAATTGGAAATTGAGAGGATGCCCATCAATTGGGGAATGGCTGAACAAGTGGTAGTATATGAATGTAATGGTATACTATTGTACCATAAGAAATGATGAGTAGGCAGACTTCAGAAACACCTGGAAAGACTTACGTGTGTGACCTGGGGCAAGTCACTTAACCCCAAATGCCTAAAAAATAATTTAAAAATTTTTTTAAATTAAAAAAAAAAAGACTTATATGAACTGATGCTGAGTGAAGTGAAAAGAACCAGGAAAACACTGTACACATTAACAGTCACATTGTGCCATGATTAACTATGATAGACTTAGCTCTTCTCAGCAATACAAATGATCCAAGACAATTCCAAAAGATTTATAATAGAAAATGCTGCCACATCCAGAGAAAGAACTAAGGAGTCTGAATGCAGATCAAAGCATACAATTTTCACTTTTTTTGTTGTTTTTTCTTTCTCATGTTTTTTTCCCTTTTGTTCTAATTCTTTTTTCACAACATGACTAATGCGGCAATATATTTAATATGATTATACATGTACAACCTATATCAGGTTGCTTGCTGTCTTGGGGGGTGGGGAGAGAGAGAGGGAGAAGATTTTAGAATTCAAAATTTTACAAAAATCAATGTCAAAAACTATCTTTACATGTAACTGGGCAAAAAAATTTAAAAATACTGTTAAGAGGGGGAAAAGACCTCCTCAATCTGGCTCCAGGCTTCCTTTCCTGACTTTTTTCACATTACTCCACTTCAGGCTGAGTGCTTGCTGTTCTATATCCCTGCTCCATGCATTCCCTCATTATATCTTGCCTCTTAGCTTCCTTCAAGGCTCAACACACATGCCACCCCTCCTCTTTCTTACGTTATCTGGTAATTACTCATCATTTTCTCTGTTGTATCTCCCGGTAAACTCTGCCCTCCTTGAAGGCAAGATATAATTTTCGTTGTCATCTTTATATCCCAGCTCCTAGCACAGTCAGTATGTATCATAACTCAGATGCTTAAAAATTCTTGAGTTGGCAGCAGAGGTGGGCATCAGGACCAAAGAGAATTTGGAGCTATGAGAGAGTAAAAATGAAAGACTTAAAATTGACAATGATATGAAAGATTGCTCCAAATCAATAACAATGAGAGAAATGTAAAGCAAAACAAGGTCTTACCTCCTACCCTGAAAATTAACTATAACAAAAGATGGAATGTTTGATGTTGGAGGGGCTACATAAAGATAAGTCACACAAATGTATGGCTGATGGAGCTGTGAATTGATCTAACCATTGTGGAAGACAATTTGGAATTATGCTTAGAAAGTGATGAAAGTGTCCATTCCGTTTGACACAAAGATTCCATTCTCAGGCATGCTCCATGTGGTACATCCCTGGTCAGATTCCATCCCAGTTTCCTCAGACTTTTCTATCTCCCTTCTCCATGAATC